CGTTCGCCCACTGGCCAATGCAAAGTGTCTAAAGGTTTCTGACCATAGAATCAACTCTCGCAAATTCTTTTGTTTGGGGTAGCTGAAAAATCCCCAGCATCAAAATAATCTTTGAGCACATATTTCATAGCTTGAATTACACGAAAGGGTTTCAAAAGACCGACAATGTACGAGGTCCTGCTGACCACCAGCACAGGTGTGGATTCCCAAAGCTGAAATGACCATACAATTGATAGGAAAACATTTCGTTTCGCTCACTTAACAGCGAAATCTTACACATGACACGTGACACATGACACGTGACACATGACAGAACATGTGTCACGTGCCGCGTCAAACTGCCTGGCAACACTGCACGGCGTGGATCTCCCCACATCTCCTCAAACACGTGTCGGTGTGGCGTGGGCTCGGCCGTCATTTCCAATATTTTATGCCCATTTTGAGCGCATTTTGAGCGAGCTGCACGCTGACGCTGCTAGCGTTCAAATACCCAAAATCGTGCTCGTCGCCCAGCGCACGCGCACCCGCTTGGCATTGCATAGCGTCACGCGCCTACCTGTGACGTGTACAGATCGCGGTGCTAGGTGCCGAGTGGTGCTACAAGGCATACCGCCACGGGTGGAAACACAATGGCACGCACACGTTTGGCTCCACACAGAGAGCATAGGATGATTTTCCAGCTGACACGAGCAGATAAGGTAACAGCCTGCGATTTGGGATCGTTAATGGCAAACATGAATTATAGACATTTTAGTGCATCACGGCTGCATGAAAGGTTATTCACTTTGGAATTTGGAGAATTGCCTGTTGAAAGTTTTATTTTGCAAAATTCACCTGCCTTGGCTTTTACAATGCCACTACCTATGGCTTATGGTATTCATAATCCATAATGAAAGGCAAAGTTCCACGACGTGGTGGAGGACTTGTGGTGGTGTGCTCGTCAGACACGTCCTTTACATAAGTGGCGTATTACATAATTTCCGTATTTCCTGGTCCGTACCATCACAAAATATTACGACATTGCCTGATAGCGTTGTTTACGGTACTTGTTGCTTCATGATAATGCCCTTGGGCGCTGACCGTGCAAGAGGAGCGCGAACAAGGTTGTGTATATGAAGCGGTACACTGAGCTTTCAACTCTAACCCTACACACAAATTGTATATGTTCCGGGGCTAGTAGCCATCGCACAGGCATAGCGCCAGCAAGCACATAAGCAGACCCACGTGAGGAACGGCAGCAAGCCCCGCCCTCCCCCCCCCCCCATGTCGCGTGTCGAGGTCGAGAGCCTATACCTTGGAAGTCATTTTCGGAGAAGCGCTTGGGCAGCTTGACTTCGGGGTCGTCGGTCACGAGACTTTTGAAGTTGTCCTGATCGGCGGCTCGGAATACATGGTCCAGCTGCTCCATGGCGTCATTGTCCGCGGCGAAGCGACTGTAAGG